CGACCTCCTAGACTACCTTGCCTGACATCATTGCAGTACATAAGTTTTTTTTTTTTCCTTTTTCTTTCATGAGCGGGCAAAAGAAAACTAAGATTTATGGGACTTGTCGACCCTGGGGACTTGTCGACCTTGAGTCCCACCACTTTTCTTCAGCGACAGACCAGTACATTGTAATTTCCCAACACTGACAGAGGTACTGGTGGTTTATATATGAATCTATATCTATATTCATAAAATCATGTAGATCTATACATATACATTCTATAACAGCATACACATTAATATATCTATACGTGGACCGATGTATGCACCTGTACATACAAGGACGCATTATATATCCAAAGTTATCCATACAACTACTTAAGCATGCATACATATTAATCTTCTGTGTATTTATTGAAAGACACTGACATACATAGAACAAATGCCTCAAGTAAGACATATACAATGAACTTGATCGGAAACGATATGAGAACCAAGTGAGAAAACCAAGAAAATACGCATGAATCTCCACCACTTCATGCAATGTTAAATGTCAAATACTTTCCTATATACTGCAAACTCTTTCCATTGATGCTCGTGTACACTATGTTGGCACTAAAACTACAAGTACTGCATATCGACAATCGAAAATACAAAACATAAAAGTAACTAGCTCCACCTATCACCATCCCTAATACTACTAATGTCCTCTGAAACATAAACAAGCATATGACTACACTACCTAATGCATATTGAGAGCAGTACAAAAAACTACCAAGATAAGAAAATAAAATATATTAAAGTGTTAGGTACACAACTGTATTCATCGTCAACCATATCTCATGGGCCACGTCCCGCCCCCACTACCTTTGCCAGGTGCCATATCCGTCCCACGTTCACCCTTATTGCTCATCATTCTCATCCTCATCCGTAACAACAAGGTCAAGTCCGCATGATCATGATATCCCTCATCTCGCCACGATGTCATGCCCCCTGCAACATCCAAAAAATATCCCCGAGGTCTCCTCTACTCTGGAGTGTCATGTGTGACCCTAGCCTGAAGATAACAGTTTACTCATCTCATCACCCAAGGTGCAAGATGTTGCATCAAGAGCGAGTCCCTATGGTTCACCACGTGCTGTAGCTACATCGTTATTTTTCAAGCAGGCCAGCCTCTTCTCGTGTTGTGCCTCTCCCATGACAATCCCACCCCACTGCAGGCACGACACTCCCCCTGAAAGGAGGAAAATACCACAAGTCCTTGATCGTGCTCAATCATATACTTTGTTACGCTCCTTCTGTCATCCAAGTGCGCTCATGTCGTCAATCCCGACCACAACACGATGATGGAGAGCATGCGTCCATTTGTATGTACCTCAACCTCCACATCCCTCCTACACTGTCAGGGGGCTATGTCACTCCCATTGCATGTACACCAGACCTGCAAGGGGAAGACATGTCCTGAGAACCAACTCCCACCTACCCCAAACCCTGAATGAGTGTCATGTCAAGCTACAAATTGCAATACAAAGGAATCCATCGGAGGTGGATCCGTGGACACCCAAGACACCGACCGTACACACACAAACCTCTCGTCAATCGCAACATCCTCTTTGATCGGCTATGACCTCATCCCTTGCAAAAGTTGTAAGCACCCACTCCAAATTACCAATCGACCGTGGTCCCTTGAACCTAGGGGGATAGGCCTAGAGGTGCAAAACCCTCATGTTAATTGGGCCTCCAGCACTAGAGCCACCCACACTCTTTGTTATAGATATATAGTTTTCTCCTCCAAAACATTTTTGACACATGCTGAAGTCTCACCGATAATAGACTCGGATGCAATGACACTCACTCTCTCTTGTTTCATGCAAGAGATAGTTGGATGCAATGACTCGGATGCAATGACACTCACTCCGAGGGATAGGCGTATCTTGAGCAAGCTCCTGCACAGGCACCATCCTGGCTATATCCATATCCCAAGTCACCAAATATAAAATGAGTGATAAAGCTTCGGACTCCTGTTGTGCAGATGACAAACAGAGAATTCAATGCTCGTTTGTTGTCTAATTGGCCATACGGAGTATCCACAGGTGATTCCTTCGGTACAACCTCATGTTTGCTATGCCCTGCCATACCCCCTTAAAGTGCCTCTGCTACATCCCAACCATTTTTTTTATTTTTATTTTTTTCACCCAAAAAATCTTCGTGATTATCTCCTGAGCACAAACAAGGTTCGCAAAATCGATATTGCACTAGAACCTCGATACTGCTGAACCAGTATGCTGGCGAAGTGACTCTACGGTTCCGTTTCAGTCGGTCGCCGACCCGACCTCTTCAGGAGTCTTTGCTGGCTCGAAGACTCCAGGTGGTCTACGGACTCTTATACCTGACAACAAAACACACGACCAGTAGGGCCATCCAACAGTGCCTAAGGGCGTCGTTAGACACTCCTCGAGCCGTCCTCGGAGTTCGAGGACGAATCCTCGAAAATTTTTACGTATTTTTGAGGTGTCGTTCCACCTGTCCTCGGAGAATCGCCCCGAGGACGAATCCTTGGGGCCCTCCCGCGTCCAGTTTCATGACATTATACACGACCGCGAGGGTGTTGTCCGACCTTCGATTCGGGATGTCCGTGTTGGAGGCATGGCGGTCTAGCAGGCGGATGGTGGTACTGCGTCACGGGGCGTGAAGAAAAAAATCGCCAACGCGGGAACGGCCCAGTTCGAATTTCGAAATTCGAATTTGCGCCCTGCGGAGCGACGGTGTGGCGACGCACACGCGGGTCGGCGAGGAGGGCGGGCATTGCACATCGCGAAGGGTTTCGGCTGCCATGGCATTGCGCACTTAAGTGCCACCGCACCGCCACCGTCTTCAGGGTGTTCGAAGCCGCGCCTCGCTTCGTATGCTGCCGGTAGTTGCGCTCGTAACGCAGAGGAGCACGACGGTTCCGTACTTCAGCGGCAGTGGGCGGACGCTACAATCGGTGTAGAACATCGTTAAGCACGACTGCATTGCTCACCTGATTGCAGGCGCCTTCAATTGCGGTGGGAGAGGTGCGCACAGGTGGGTGGCGAGGAAGGTTGCTTTTCCTGTCCGAAGAAGGGAATGGAGGGCTGCGATCGCGATGGTCACGCTGTGCTGTCCAGTGCGGAGAAGACAGCTGTCGCGGTGGCTGCTGTCGCAGTTGTCCACCGATTCCAGGTAGAGAGGGCGGCTGGGCGCATGAAAGTGACGCTTTCCAGGCAGCGACAGAGGATTCTGCTACAGAGGGTGTTGGACGCCCCAGATTGCGTTACCAGTTCTGAGGCAGTGCTTCAGCTATGCTTTGCAATAGGGTGCGGTGTGGTTCGTCGGTCGATGCCACGTTGGTGGATGAGGCGGAGAACCGGCGGGACTTGGGAGGATTTGCGGCTCTGTGATGACGCGACGGACGACTACTTCCGGGGAAAGCTCCACATGTCGAGGAGAGTTTTCATTGAGATCAGCGAAGCCTGTGCACCTCTCTTGCGACGACAGGTGACGTTCTACAGGGAGCCACTTCCGTCGGAGTAGATCATCGCCTATGCGTTGTACAGGTGGGCTACAGGAGAGTCATATGACAACAACACCTCATCTTTCGGCATAGGCAGGGCTTCCGGAATTCTGGTCGTGCGCGATGTGACAAACACTTTGTTGACGGTGTATGGGGACAGGATATCGTGGCCGATGAGGGTGCGAAAACAAGTCGTGTTGCGGGCGTTTCTGGACAAGGGCTTTCCAAACTGCCATGGCGCTGTTGACTGCACACACATCTACGTGGACAAACCGACGAACGCGCCCGACGAGAACTACTTCGACCGCAAGCACCGTTTCTCCGTCATTGCGCAGGTGCTGGTGGACCTGAATCTGCGCGTTCTAGACGTGTTCGTTGGATATCCGGGGAGCTGCCACGACATCAGGGTGATCCAACTGTCGAGTTTGTTGAGGCGCGCGGAAGAGGGAGTGCTTTTTCGTGGGCCGCCTGTGACGCTGCCGGGGGGGGGTGAGGACGAACGGTTACATCTTGGGCGACAACGGGTATCCTCCTTCTGAATAGGTAGTTGTGCCGTACAAAGGAATCAATCAGCACCCGGACGAGGAAAGGTTCGACATGAAGCAGAAGGTCGCAAGAGGGGCTGTGGAGAGGGCGTTCGGGAGGTTGAAGGGGATGTGGAGGCTCTTCGTGCGGACACATAAGACAAACCTGGAAACACTACCGCAGCAGTTCACGGCAGTCTCCTCGATGTCGGTGTCGAGTTCGACGAGAATTTGTTGTCGGAGGTCGACGAGAACACCCCGAGTGGACCTGGGGATTCCTCGTCCCCTGCAGCCAGTGTTGATGTTGACGTCCACCGGTCCCGCCCTTGCGCTCCGCGACGCGCTGGCGGAGCGAATGAAACACATGTGATCCTGTGCACTGCCTGCGTCTTTCACGTGCAGAATACTTGCTTCGAGTCTTGTTCTGCCGTCTTCGATTAGTTAGGAGGGTTCGCCCTCTTTCGCTTTTGCGCGCGACGAAGTAGATGGTTTTCGGTCGCGGGTGGTATCTTTTTCGGAGTTCGTTCTTATGGTCGACGGTAGTGTGCTTGTCTAATTTGTCTATGGTTCCTAGTGACGTCGCTCTGCGGTCGTTCGACGTCATGTCGACAGTGGTTCGGTTGTGCACTTTGTTTGAAAATGAACGATGTCGGTGGTGGTGGTGGTGGGGGGGGTGATTGGTGGGGTGGTTGACAGCTCCTCGGCGAGCTTATGAATATGTGGTTTACAGCGCTGCTTTCTTTGAAATTGAACGATGTTGTCGACTCCTGCGCTTGTTTTGATTGCTATGTGATGACTTCTTCGTGCATTCCGCTTCTTTCTTTCGTTCGGCGACCGACTTCTTTCTCAACCTCATTCAAAATGTTTGTCATTCAAACAATGTCTGCAATTTTCTGCAATTGCTCAGGGTCATCGGTGACGCATGAATGCGGCGATGAATATTCATGCACATTGAGAAACTATGGTTTTCAATTTTGTTCTTTTAGCAAATGCGTGGTGACAGTGCGTGGCCAGGTTCGTTTCTCTCGTCCTGTTTTTTTTGTCGTTCCCGTTTTCGCAGGTGCGGGCGATGATATGGACGCAGACTTTTCACACATCCGACGAAGGGCCGCTTGCAGAAGCAAAAGCTGTGAAGGACACGACAATCGCTATTAACGCATTCCATACATGATACATCCACACGAAAGACAACAAAACCAACTTTGAGCGACAAATCACGGACATGCGAGTACACAATTCTCACACATAAAATAAGACTTCAATTACATACATTCCTTCCACAAATGAATATTGACGCGGAATTCGAAAACAGGAGTCCAACTGTCCACCCTCGAAGCGCACCACAGCAACGACGGACTCCACCTGCCTTCTATTTCGTTCCTGACGTGTCGTGGATTGGCCTAATAGACAAGGCTTTGGAGCAGATACACAATCTCTGCTCCAATGAGAAACTAATCACAATGAAAAAAAAAAAAACATAGCAGGTGGATTGCTGACACAATAAAGCTCCACCTGCCTTGTACTATCACAACACACTAAAACAACACGCGCACGAAGATGACGACTGTCGACGTCGCGACACCACCGAACCGCGCGCTCCAACCACGACCATCGACGATAACACGTGTAGTGCGATGGAGGGGTTCTAGCCATCCATCATGATGGATTGCTGCACAGGAACGGCGACTGCCCACCTCACCTTCCACCCCCCCCGCCACCATCAATCCCCCCMCCCGCCCCCATCCCGCCGCGGCCTTGCGAATGAACCACGTGTCACTTCTCGTTATCGCCATCGTCATCCGCCAGTGGGTCGCTGCCGATCCACCCGTGTTTTGCTGCTTCCGCTGCATTCTTGAGGGCCGCGTTGTGACCGAAAACCAACCCGCAATCGGCCCATTCAGGGATGCAATGCGGGCAATCTCCCAGCGTGAGGTGGGCCTTCCCCAAACGATCCAAGATGAGGTTGGCGGTGTCAACGACGTGCCGCCGCCAATTGAAGATGTAGGAGCCCGCCGCTATGAGTGTTGGTTTGGTGACCATGGATGCGTAGAATGATGCCTCGTAGTGCGAGCCGTCGTCGTCACCGCCCATCCGCATGATCCACATGCACGCGCTCAACAAAACTCGAAGACAATCCGCAAGGCGCGTCAACCTATCCTGTTTCACGCGGCCACCATCCGCCCATTGCCCGCACCAAACTGCATCTGTCCAGCAGTCTGCCAGGCGAAGAACTGTCACCTCCTGCCGCGCCGCCACGTCGTCGTCTTCGGGCCTATCCACAATCTTCACTCCGGCGAACCACAAAGGCACGTCCATCTTCATCGCCAGTGTGTGGTAGACAAGGGCAGGGGAAACGACTTTCGACCATTCTAAAGTCTGCCAGACTGCTTGCGCGACATCTTTTGCGAAGTCCACTGTCACATACGATTTTGCACGAGCGAAGCCTGTCGACCTCGACGACGATTTGAAGATCCAACCGTGGATGGCACACAACACCACTTTCTCCACGTTGCGCGCTCTGCGCAGAGCCGGTTCACGCTGCACAGGGTCGTCGATCTTGAAGCGCGGCACATCATTCGGCGGCATTACCAGCATCGAAGGCGGTTCCGCTCCTGCATCCCCGTTGGCGATGGCGACGAAGTAGTCCGTGCAATCGCCTACCGCCTCCCTCAATGGCTTCCCCGGTCCCTAACCCCAGAATGCGTCGCAGTCGATCCACAACTTTGACCTCTCTTCGATATCATCCTCTTTGACCCCTTTCTTCACCATCGCCGAAACCGGACGGTCGTCGTCATCATCGCCCCCCCCCTAGCATCCTTCCTCGCATCATCGTGGCGGACGTCATCGTCCCTCCCCTCTTCCGCACCCTCTGCGACTCCGCTCCCGGTGGTGTTATCCGCCGCCACCGTCCGACCACCGCCCGCCGTCGTGTCAACCTTTTGCGCGGACGGTGTTTTTCCCACCCCAAAAGTCCCCGCCTGTAGCGCGGGGATTGACTGACGTGGCGCCACCTGCCCGACCTTTGGCGGAACTTGTCTCGCCACACGCGCGTCCGTCATGACAATCCCTGCCGCCTTCGGGGTTCGTGCCAACGAGACGGCGACACCACCGACCAAGCCTTGCTTTAGAGCGGCCAACTGCTCCCTCGACACCCCGTCCCACCCAAGCCCCAATCGCTTCATGACGTCCGCCCCTTCTGCATCCACCATCGACTCTTCCTCGCCGTGCAAATCCCCACTATGTTCGGAGCTGTCGTCATCGAAGCGCGGCCTTTTCGACTTCGGCACGTGCCCTCTGCCTTTTTGGGTCTCCCCACTGTCGCCCGGTCCGCTGTTTCTTTTCGCCTTCCCTGAAGCGCCGCGCGGTGCCATGTTGTCCACAAAGAAGTGCGTGCCGAATGCAAACAGCTGCGGCGCTTGGCTGACGTGGGCGAAGGACCACGTGGACGACGCGAATGAAGGAGCGGTGGGAGGTCGATGACGGGCACCTTGCCGACGGACGACGATGATGATGCGTCGCTTCGCTGCTGTGGACGAAGGACCAGTCCGATGGCACGCCGCTTGGCTGTCGTGGATGCAGGAGGACGTGGATGCCCGCAGAGCCCAAACCCGCCGATCGTAGCGTCGAAGCGGATGACTAGGCCTGAGACGACGAGACCATGCACAGACGGTGCCTTTGGAGCCGTCGCGATAGAATGCCAGCGGTGCGGAATACCTCCCGGAATCCCCTTTTGTACGGTGCGCGGTCTCGCACCACACCATGGACAGGCCAGACCCTCTACTATAGCCCGCCCCTTCGTCGATTCACAACAGACGAATTTTCTCGCGGCGTGGAGGTCATCCTCCGCATGACGAACAAGGCACGAGGGCGCGTAGACGCTCCCCGGAGGGGGTACAAAGACCCCACCCCCCATCCGTCCTCTCCCGCCCCCAAAAAGGCCAGGCACTCCAATCCGCCATTTTTTCAGAGATGGTTGTTTTCCACAAACCACAAGGATATAGGTACTTTATATCTAATCTTTGGTGCAATTGCTGGAGTAATGGCCACATGCTTCTCTGTACTAATTCGCATGGAATTAGCACAGCCAGAAAATCAAATTCTTGGTGGAAATCATCAACTTTATAATGTGTTAATAACAGCTCACGCTTTCTTAATGATCTGTGCGCCGCTGTGCTAGATGTTTGCAAACTAATACTACGTAATTCATGTTGTTTCAAGAACTCTGACAACAGAGCCTCTTGAGAACTCATGAGTTGTTGTAATTCCGAAACAACAGATTCTCTTCTTGCTTCAAAAGTAGCCTTGAAAGTTTCGCCAAAAGTTTTTTGACTAAATAAAACAAAACCCACAAAACTAAAAGTTACTAGAATTTCTTCATTATAAAGTAAAATTTGTTTTGAACTTAGCACATTGAATAGTTATTGGAAATATGAGTATTCATATTATAATACTTCTGATGAACAATCACTTACTTTTGATAGTTATATGATTCCAGAGGATGATCTAGAATTGGGTCAATTACGTTTATTAGAAGTAGATAATCGAGTGGTTGTACCAGCCAAAACTCATTTACGTATGATTATAACATCTGCTGATGTACTTCACAGTTGGGCAGTACCTTCCTTAGGTGTCAAATGTGATGCCGTACCTGGTCGTTTGAATCAGACTGCCATCTTTATCAAACGAGAAGGAGTTTACTATGGTCAATGTAGTGAACTTTGTGGAAACTAAACACCGCGACTTCTATCTTTTTCAATATAATCATCACGAAGTAAATCCACAAAACCTAAAGTAACTTCACGTTCGCCTTCCAATCGCGTCCCAAAAAACCCACCTTGCCGCCTACACATTCGTGGACACCCCCAAAGAAGACCCTGGAAGATCGCCATCCATGCGTGGAGACAACAACTCACAACAACGTTCTATAAACACTATCTGAAAAACGTAGGACCTGCTGTACAACCTCAGGACGCGCCGTGGGGCATGAAATCAAACAACGCCCTTCACAGTCATTAATAAAACCCGCAATTATTACTACGCGTGAGCAACGATGACTCGCCGACTGTACACAACCTACACATCAGCGTACTGCAGCACGGAGGACGACGGAAACGACGACGTGCCGGAAGCGCATACAGGCCATGCCTTCGGACGTTCGACATGCCTGGTCGGCCCACGTCAAGCTCGTTCGCGGATCGCTTTAGCAATCTCCATGAGGGCGTTGCACATCATGAAGTTCGCCCGGTCAGCCTTCTCGTAGTGATCCTTCTGCACTTGTATCTCTCTCTCTAGAATGTCACATTGCCTCGTCAGAATTGAGCACTGCCCCTTGCTCGCGCTGTCCACCGTCGTCGACATCAACGCCCCGTGCTCCTTCATGACGTCAGCCATCGCCTCGAAGGTCTGCTGTTTGACTTTCTTTCGTTTGCCAGCCCCGCCACCACCACCGCCGGAGAACGACGAATCCCTCGTTGATCCACGATCGTCGTCCTGACCCCCCCCCCCCTACGTCACTACGGTCGGATTCGTTTCGCCCGCCAACCGTGCTAGGCAATTGAACACCTCCCGGGCACCCGTGTCCGCGAGATTCGTGGGGTGTATAGTGTGATCGCCCCCGGACATCACCTTCATCTCCGAATACACGCGCTCATCCATCCTAAAGTCGAACCCCCGCTCCCTCCTTTCCCCCGACGTTAGTGTGAAGAAGTTAGGCTTCCCGGACTCTCCCATGAACTTGTGCACGGATTTGAACTGCTGGTACAGGTTGTCCCATTTCTTTCCGCAGACGACGGCCTTCCTACTCGTCACCCCCATCTGCACCAGCCTCTTCTCCACGTCCTCCCACTTCCATGTCTTCGTCTTCATCCGTCCGTAGTTGTGCCCCAGGCCGGCCAGATGCGAATCCTGGTCTCTTTTGGCTCTGATAAGAGCGATCATATGCTCCACTGTCCAAAAATCCCTTCTTTTTGTTCCGTTGCCTGCCGACGATTCTTCGCCGCACTTCTTGCCTTTCCGCCCCGTGCGCGATTCTCTTACCTTGGTTCTCGACGTCGACCCTCCGCGCTTCCTCCCTACTGGACGAATCTCCATCTCGTCGTCGTCGTCTTCGTCGTTGTCATCACCGCCGTCATCTGCAACGATCTTCTCGCCCCCTCCACCATCTCAGTCCGCAAATTCGTCTTCGGCCCCCACACTGATTCTCGCCACCCCTCTTGTTATGCTGACCGTGTTCGTGGAACGCAATCGTTGCCGTTCATCATCCCAAAACTGACGACCGACGACCTCCGTAGCGTCGCGCTCGTCGTCATCCCCTTCTCCGTCGATTGCACCGCCTGGCGTCGTCGTTCGGCAGCCTGCCAATCCAGCTGTCTTCGTCCTCGACGCGACCACACTTGCTGTAATCAAAGCCACCTGCCTCGGCGAAACGAATCCACGGCTGTCCGCAGGGCCAGCCGCCCTCACGGAAGGCGATGTGCGTTTGGAGGCAGAAGCCGGGTTCACGACAACAGTATGCGTCAAGCCCTCGCCACTCCCAGACCTCAGACCGAAGCTCAGATCGACGAGTCCAGCGTCGTAACCAGCGGGGGTCCGGCCCTCCAGCAAATCAGTGTACGTCGGCGTCGATGCGTGTTTGTACACCTAGCTCCCCATCCAATCCTGCGTCGAACCGTTGCCCAGAGGAACCGTTGAGGATCTGGAGTCGTCGTCGTCGTCGTCACTCGGAGGCAATGGAATCTTGTGGGACGGCAGGTGGCTGTACAGCGTCGGGTCGTACGGCCGCCTGGCGCCTTCCGCACTGTTGCAACGCTGACGCGAGGACCCCCCACCTCCCACCGACATCGTCGTCTTCGTCTGAAGCTTATCCATCTTCGTCGACATCTTCGGCGTTTGATGCTTCGGTTTCCTTCCAGGAACGCGACCGAGGAAACAGATGTGGAAGACGACAACGATGAGCAGCAGCAGAGCGACGAGCAGCAGCAAAGGCAGCCTGCGGTACATGTTTGCCATCAACGTTAGGTCAGCCGACACAGAACCGTTGCTGCATTCGCGGCGAGCGGAGACACACTATGCGAGAGGGAAGACGCCAATGAACCAAATTCATGCGAGCAGCAACAGGGGGAGGACGCTTACAAAATCCGTAATTCCGACCGTTGGGAAGCCCGCAGGAATGCCACAAAGCCTCCGGGCACCGGCCGAAGACGTCCGACGATTGCCATGGCCCCTCCGTGGGGCCGCCCGAAGGACCTATAGGGCCGCCCCGCGATTCAGCGCCAACAGTAAAACGAGGAGGCCGTTGCTGGAGGTTTTCGACTACGACGGCCGGGGATGTCCGTCTTCTGGCCGCTGGACCACCCTCGGCCTCCAATTTCCGTTCGGGAGTAGCCGCCGACACCCTGTTAATCGTGGATCCTCGGGCTCCGAAGGACCTCACGACGTCCTTCGAGTTCGAGGACGATTTGGCTGGGAAATCCTCGGAGCCCGAGGATTTGTCCTCGGAGTGTTTTCACATTTTCATTTCCGATTTCATCTCCGAGGTCAGGTGGAACGACGACGGAATCCTTGGAATCGCGTCCCCGAGGAGTGTCTAACGACGCCCTTACCGGACCGTACAGCGTACTACCAAAAAATAGACCACCCTCACATAGCCAGAAAAAGTCATTCGCGAACCGTCACTGGGTCACACTGTACCAGGCCCCTCCCTCAGCGACCAGGGTCACCCACAGCAATGGACCCCTAACATAGGCCAGGTCACGTCACAAGAATAGTCTAACTTCTCACACCGAACTGAACAAGGTCACCCACAGCAATGGGCCCCTATCATATGCCAGGTCACTTCACAAACATCCTACCCCAGTGGCACAAAAACCGTGCCCACTCATTCCAACATCCTCCAAAACGTCGGGAGAAACACAGCATCACTTTGTCAAAAATTTGTCTGGGTAGCCCCGATGCCACAGCTTAACTTTCAAAGAGAACAAGCCCCTTCCAACATCCCAACTTCTCACATAGCCCGTTTCCACCATCTGCACCTGAACCGTTTGCATGTGCAACATCAATACATTGAAGGTTTGTGACCCTTAGTTAAAGCAAGTTTGTTTCCCCTCTTCCCGTGGATGAGCTGATATGCACTCCAGTTCCTCCCTATGGGTGAAGTGCACATCCATGTAAATGATGATCGTTTACATCTTCTGGGCGCACAATGGTCTGTCCGCCTGCATCATCCGTGTTGCCATCGACACTCGTCTATGACCCCAACTCCCCTCTTGGGCCCCTTGCATCTTCAGCTTCTTGAAATCCTCACAATTCCAATCGAACACAGTTGGGGTCAACAAGTATGCATCTAAGCAAAGGACGAACATCGCATCTTCCTTGGTCACAATGCCGGTCTAGCAGTGCATCCTACGGTGGTAGGGATTAAGAAGGTAAGTAGTTGTGTGAGTAAACTCAAGCATGTGCAAGCATGTGCCTAATACGGGCCTACATATGCTTGATGACCTTGTGCATCCTGCCCTTTGGGAGGAGGATCCACCTCATGTGAGTCTTGAGGGATTAGGTCCATTAATAAACTCAGGACATAGACATTCCCTTTCTGTTTATTCTCCACAGCAGCTGGAAAACCAGGTTGATCATATTCCATAGCCGTGTCACCTTGTCCCACCACGCCGCGTTCTTCACCTGCCTGCGCACCAACCTTGCCTGCTTGAGCAGGCACCTCTCTCAGGGGATAGCCAACCACTCATCATGGAGCATCATCCTCTGTAACATGCCAGAGACTGC